TTTCATTAAGGTAATTTGGCATTTGAATTTTATTTGGAGACCTTTTATTATTAGTTCACTGGCTATAGTCAGTCACTGGCTTGTGAGGAAAACACAGTGGCGCAAGGTTGGGTTATAAAACAGCATCTCAGGCTTTGACTATCCCACAGAGAATGGTTCAGCATAACGCTAAATAAAATACAGGTAGGGCAAAGACAGCATTATTCATAAAGCAGCCAAGAGCTCAGAAGGAGGAGCGTATTGACAGTTCAATTCCACACACCTGGCCTTGATGGAAGAGTGGCAAGAAGAAAGTCCTGGTAAAAAAAACAGAACAAAACAAAAAACAAACAAAAAAAACATAAGAAGTCTTGTTTCTTGTTTCCCACAAGCAATATTCAATGAACGTGTAAGTAGGCGCTCTGGTCAGATCAGACCACATGCTTTGTGCATTGGAAAGGAACTGTGCACATGATATTAAGTATTTTTAAATTTAAATATGATCAGAAGAGGAATGGATGAAAATACAGGGCAATCTTAGTAGAGATTGCAAAAGTCTTAAAAACTGGTTTAACTTACAGCCCCCTTCGGCGCAGAGATGAACGCTGATCTACATGCAAACAGATGACAGCATTACAGTGACAAGACAATAATATCACACAGAAAACATGGAAATAAGAAGATGTCTGAATTGTTTTGTTTAACTCCCTCATGCAGCCCAAACAAAATTGAAAATCTGCTCTCACTCAGATTTGAAAATTATGTCTGGAGGCTGATCCAAGAGAAGGTTTAATAGCTGGAACAGCTGATTGGCTCTGTGGAAAGAGCCAGGAGTCGAGTCAGGTAAAGGTCTTCCAAGGTTTCTGCAGTGTGCCATGCCTCAGCTTTGCCCGGATATGGATGAACTTTAGAACAGCAGGATGCACGTACGGCTATTACACCTTGAAGATTTTAAAAGTCCTTTCTTCTTCCAACAGGCAAGAAGGGGAACAGATCACATGTTTGTCTGGTACTTAAATTCAGCAAATTAGAGAATTTGCTAACTATCACAAAATACAACTTATGTCTGTCCAGCTCCTGGTTTTATAATAGGGCTCAGTTTCTCATCAGTGATGTTATGTCCAGCTTATTCTTAACTTTGAATGAGCCAAAGACCAGAGCTAAATTCAATTAAGAATTTGTGTCAGGATTTAATTATTATTTGTTCACAGATGTTTCAACAGTGATGGCCAACTGAAGTCCATCAAAACATGCTATTCTGTATGAATAATATTGAACTTTTAAAACATGCAGGACATAGACTCTTAAGAACTGGCCTTGGATAGAACTCATATCATCAGATTGAGCTTGGCTGACCTTGTAAAAAAACTATATGGTAAAATTGAATTCTCTAGATGTAGAATACTATTAGAGATATCCCCAATCGACTTGTCTCTACAACTGGAAGGTGGTTCAACAGATTAGTGGCCAAGGGGAGCTGAAAAGAAAAAGGCATGTTTTTATTTATCTATTTTATTTATTTATTTTTAGATTTCTCAACTTCACACAGCAGGGATGGAGGATCCGACAGGTTTCGACTTGTTTTCCCCCAGCCTGGATCTCTACTTTGGATTGTTAGATCTCTTTGGTCTCAAGTGGGTCGAGATTGGCTAGAGACTATAGTTTTTGTCAAAATTGCAAAAACTTAGCTCTGTTATCTTCACCCACAGACACACAACGATATGAAAGTGAATTAAAACCATTAAAAAATTTTGTTGGCTCCAGTGGCTCCCATCTGAAAGTAGCTCAACAGAAAACGGGGCAACGAGGGGGAAGGAAGAAATGCGGCAAACGGCACCAGGCCGGGAATCGAACCTGCGACCACTGCCACAATAACGACCACAAAATTGTGTTACAAATGTTTATAACAACACTGATTTAAAATGGCGTATCTGTGTTCACATGTGGTGCGGTCTAGCTTTTGCTGAGCAAACACAGAAAATTATTAAATATGCTTTTCAAAAACACGAGTTTTAAGAGAAGGAAAAGAGTAAAACACCCAACAGTAAGTTTTGTCCACCTCCAGGTTTAACCATATGCAAAGTGAACGGGCGACGAATAGTTTTACTATTGCTTAGTTTTATGAAGAGTGAGCATCAAGGCCAAAATTATGAAAAATCTAAATACTATTAATAAAAAATAAATACTAAAAACACACAGTAAAGCAAGTGCAACAGTGTCTTAGCCACCGGTACAACCATTAAATTCGACCACTATCAGCATCGCTGCTCTTAAGCAAGGCTCATTTCTTCAAGCCAAAAACATAAACTCAGTTCAACCTTTTATGTTTTATGGTCATAATCTGTACTAGAGAAAATATTCCCATTTGACTCTTGTAATCTCCTGTCCCTGCGTCATTTCCGTTGGTTACCTAATTTTTGTAAATCTGATGGATTCGATTGGATTCCCCCTGACGGGCAATTTGCTAACTGTCATAGACTAATAATAAAACAAAAATGCCTAATAACTTATTGATACATGCAGGTTATGTGTTTTTATAAATACTAAGCTGTTTAACATCCGATACTTTAATGAATTGCTTTTATTCAGGATCAGATGATAATATGAAAACTTTTTTAATATTACAATGTTTTTATTGGCCTGATGTCATTGTTTTTTATTATTCATCATACAACTATTGTGCAATGTTAGCTGATTAATTCAGCATAAAGAAGGTGTATCAATGTGTTAATAACTTAAATAGTAGCTCGTCACAACCATCATTAGTTTAATACTAAGAATTAGTTTTGGTTGAGTAATTAACTTTGTCCATAAATGTTTGCCTTTTGTGGTGTACAAAATGTAATGTTCTTAAATATGTGTCAAACTTAAACATTTGGCTTCGGTCTTGGTCCCGTCTCGACTCCGTGCCTGTTTCACAGTCATGCACTGCATTGAGATGAACTGAGACAAATGGCAAATAAAATACACTAAGCTTTGTGATGACAGTGATGTGCAAGTTCAAGAGTTATAAATAGTTATGCAAGACACAGCATCTTCCAAAGAGAGAACATGATCTAAGATTCTTTATGACGCTGCAAAGTGTGGACTTGACCTCAGTCCTCTGCAGATGAGTTGCTGTTTGTCTTCTTACAGATGAGGACACCATCTGAGCCTGCAGGGCTTTGGCAGGCCAAAAGACATGCGATGTGTACAACGTGTTCCTCACCAGTTCCGCCAAATACAGACTAGCAAAGTGACTCACAGATTTATGAAAAAAGTCATATGATAACCACAAAAAGACAGAAAAAGATCCAACATTAAGTAAATTATAGGATATAGAGACATCCCCCTCCTCTGCTCTGTCTTGGAAAAGGGAGTTCAAACACTTGAGAACACCTTTCCCAAAAGGTTTGTTACCTTAAAAAGATTATTAAAGCATTGCCCTAAGAGAACTTATTTAACAAAGCCCTGTTTTCATTTCCTAGTTATTTAATCTGCATTTGATTCAAAAGGATATTTTGATTAGGAGCCACAATAATAGGTAAGAATTTGCAAGCAAAATTTGTGGCCAAATTGTGAAAAATAAATCTATTTTGATAAATTCAATATTAAGAGCTCCTAAAGGCAGCATCAGTATAACTTAACCAGAGCATCTGTTGCAATAAGCATAGCATCTTTATTTCTGTTGTCTCCCAAGCATGCGTGGCATTGAGAGGTGATGTAGCTTTGATTTTTTGAATTGAATCGTCTTGCTTTTCTCTCTTCCTGCTGTGCATGACCTTCTTGGTGCGAAGTGAAGCACAGCGTGGCGGTTAGCAGGAAGATGTGGGCAGATTGAAGTCCACATGCATAAATTAGCCTCCCTCTGTCACGGCTTCTTTTCTCTACAGGGTTAAACACACTGGAGCCTCTCAGTGAGTGTGCTTTGCCGTAAATCTTGCAGGGAATATGCGAGAGCCTCGCTAAATAGTACCGGGCAGTAACCTCTTCAAAGAATTTGGAGTCTATGTGTGTGTGTGTGGGATGGGTACTGCTGCAGCGAGAAGAAGACGGTGATGTTGCTGCTTTGGTGACACGGGTCAAAGAGGCATGATGGAGCAGAACAAGACAGTGTAAAATGGGTTCAGGGTCCCCACAGCAGATTGAACTAACTACACTGGTGACACCAAGCTCTCCATCTGACAAACTAGCAACATGTGGCTTGGGTTGTCCCTTGCGATGTAATTTGTTGTAAAAGTAAATGAGTAAAAGCAGGGCTTAATTTATTTCTTGCTTAAAAACAGGATTCAAATTTGCTTTTCAACGCCAAGAACCCAACAAACTATATTAGCTGTCTTTTTCCAGAGTTCACTGAGAATGATGTCAAAAACTTTATCTACAGGAAATGCATGAAACATGCTTCATAGTTGGTGTTTTCCAGAAAGCCAATATATTTAAAAATTTCTAATAAGAAGAGAGCTTACATCCACCCAGAATTAAGCCCAGTCGACAAAGGTGAAAATGTTTGAATATGAAGAGGAAAAAGTAGGTGAACTTAATGATAATGTAAAATGTATATTTATGATGAGTTCAGAGACAAATTATCAACAACAGACCGATACTAACCGTAACAGGCTGTAAAGCTGTAAAGACCATAAAGTTACATTCCTCCCATACACCAAAGTGACTTCATGAAATCTCCTGCAATCAGCTTTCATGCTCACCACCCACCAAACGTCACGCAGGTTCTGCTCGGCGGTCAAAAAAAAAAAAAAGACAGGTTGGGGTTTTAACTCAGATCAGACTTTCACAGGGTGAGCAACCTCACAATTACAGCAGTCCCTGAATGCAGCATCTGATCCAAGCGCTCAGGGAGAAAAAAAAAAAAGTAGAGGAGAGAGACTATTTAGCCTTGTACCTCTGGCCTGGTAAGATAAAGTCACCCTGGGGGTTGTTTTATCATCAACTTCAAAAAGACTGCGCAGGGTTTTGTTTTTTATTATTATTATAATTTTTTGTGCGTTAAAATTCTTTTTTCTAATTTTCCTCCCGTAGTGAGCGCTGGCCCGGTGTCACGAATGGCTCCCCGGGCGGTCTGGCTCCTGGTCGCGCTGTCCGCTGTCCTGAAACTGCGCGCCTGCTGGGCTTATACCTGTCCGGCCATCTGCCGCTGCAGCGCCGACACGTTTCAGTGCAACAGAGACACTCAGCTGGCCTCCAGGACCGCAGCAACATCTGTGCTGCGACTGTAAGTAACACAGCTGTCTCTGGCTTTCAACAGGTACAAGTCACAGAGGAGTCAGTTTATGCCATCCTATAAACTGTGTTCAGACCCTCTTCAACTGAACTTTTTATTTATTTTTATTTTACTGTCACTGTAAAGTTCCTCTTAGCACAGTTTTATATGGTAAATGTAGAGTAATCCGGAGAGACAGCTTAAAGAGACAGTTTTGCTGCCTATTTTCCATTTTATTTTTGTTAGATGTCGCAGTATAGCTGTGGATTTAACTGCTTTCCTCATGAATCTTATAGAAGGTTCACCCAGCTGCCCTTGAAACAAGTTCCCACTCATGCCTTCAAGGAGCTGATCAACATTACCATAATGTAAGTGGCTTTCCCCTTTACATATAAAAGGAAATTTAAAGTGGTGGATTTATATTAAATTCAATTAGGGGGCTTAGAGAGACTCATTTTCTTTTAAACACAACAGTATGCATAAGAAAATAAAACATTTTAATCAGTGTAATTACTCATTTCGCAAAGTAGTGCTAGTAAATACATGTTGCCAGACTGGCACAGTGACTTTAACTGAAATTGTGTTTAACATTCAGAGTAATATTGAATGAAATTTATGTAAATAAAAAGCCCACTAACGTGAAAATACATCAACGCTGGCCCTTTTCTGTGTGGGACGTCAGTATTTAATCTCTTTCTGCCAATGTAAGACATTATGAAAGCAATGATGTATTTTATAAAACACAACACAATATGCTTCTAATTCTTTAAATTCACTCTATATTCCTGTTTATTGATGATAGACTCAGTTTTTCTCATTCTAACATTCAGCAATTTTAATATTTGTGCTAAATCTTTGTGAGTACTCGCTGGCATTGCTTGATTTCAAGAAAATATTTAATTGTGATCCTAATGCTAAACTTTGTGATGTTAATATAAGTTGGAATAAACCGCTTCGTTATCATTAACAATAATTAACAGTGTTGCCATAGGTTTTAGTATCTTAGCCACTAAACATATTCATCAGATGTAAACATTGGGGTCAATTAAAGTCCATCTAGCTGGACAGATTTGGTATCCTTAAGTATTGATCAAATATAGAGATCAGAAAATTAAGAGGAAATTGACATTTTCAGAACATTTTTACCAAGTAAAACTACCAATATGCCCTCTAAGTGTTGATGAAATAAGAAAAAGTTTGTTTTTATCTAAAAGAACAAAGAGACAGAGAATGCTGATCAGACATTTCAATACATTCATGAATCTTATTATGTTAAGCTCCTAATGATTTACTGATCTTTTTAAATTCCAGTCTGAACTGGTAGTAGCACACATCAATGAGCTTTCAGGAAAAAAACAAGTGCAAAACTCTGAATTTGAAAAAATAGTCTCTATGATCAGCACGTCGTCTCTGACCTTGTTCAAAACCAAACTCAAGACCCATTTATTTGAAAAGATTTTTTATGCTTTTAGTATTTTTATATTTTCTTTACTTTTTTAACATAGCTGTATTTTAGCTGGTCGAAGCTTGGGAAAAGTTGCTTATTTTAACATAAAAATGACCTGAAACCCATCAAATCTGTTTTTTCAAAAAGACAAAACTAGCTAAGATTAATCTTTTAGAATGGCCTTACCTCAACTGTGATAAAAATGTGTTAACTATGATTAACAGCTAAGCGTATACCGGTAAATTGATTTCAAACTTTGAATTTGATTCTTTTTTTAAGAAATTGTGACCATGTGTTACATTAAATAGATCATATATTGATGTCTGATCCATCTGATTTGTTCAAATTAGGAACATCTGCTATGGATCATGTGTTCCAAAGATCTGAATCAGATTTGAAGTCAAAACATAAAATTTAGAACTCTTAGTTGTAATAAACTCAAAATACATTCACAGTGTTTTGAGTCATTCTTCTCCCTGGTCTCTCATCACTTCATATATTTCCCTTTGATTCTGAAACACACATAATTCCATCATTGTAGGATGATGAAATATGAGTTAAACATTGCTTCAGCTCTTCTTCTTGTCAACATTTTATGAACAAGCATGTGTCTTTAAAAGCAATTGCGGATGTATCAACGTTAGACCACTGGCCATTAATCGTTGACAGAAACTGACCTAATGCAAGATTTTATGGCAATGTTAGAGAAGATTAGGACCACCAACTGACTCCTGAACAGTGTATCATTCATGTACGACCGCCCGACTGTCAAGTTCAAACATCTCAACTCTCTTACACATAGAGCAGCCCAGAGAAGAAGAAAAAAATCCTCCTTTTATATGGAAGGGGTGACTTTAATGGAGCCCGTGGGTTGTAAAATCCCCTGGAGCTCAGCGGTGGATGTCTCAGCAGCATAATTATCCTCAGCGCAGCAGCAAATCCGCCAAGAAATGACTTAAAAGAACAAACCCAAGTGTTATGTTATCACTTTGTCATATTAATCACACAGAAGTACTGCAGGGGACTGCGATCAAATCAGGTGAGAAAACCCTGAAATGTAGTGAAACTAGGGAAACGGTGCACAGGAAGAGGGGGCAAGTTGGAAACCTGTAGTTACTTATGCAAAATGCCCTCCTCAACTCAACTCTGAGAGGAGACAGCTGGGCTCTAATCATCCACATTTCCTTTTTTTAATCGTCAAAATTTTTTGCATGTGACCATGTGACTTTTTCGTACTGTGCTGAGCATGTTTGACTTTGCTCTGTTCCTCAGGGACACGCCTTATCAGTCTCAGATACTTACTGTACTTTAGTCTGATCTACCGAATGGAGCCTAAATTTAGTCTGTTTTAATATAAAAGAGATCCTAACTGTCCAAGTAGCTTTAAACCTAAATGAAATGGCAGTTTTATGGCTGCAAGTCTTCATTTCCTCCTCACCATTAAATCTGTAATGGTAGAATGACATGTCTGTGTGCTTTTGTCATTGGTGATGCATGCTTGAAATCACAGCAGCACTTCATTTAGGCAATTATGTGAGGAAGCTTTTTATGACCTCTAAGCAGTAATTATGACACTATATGTGGAGCAATTAAGAGACGGGATGAAGGAAACGTGGATCTGCAGTACAGATGGAGTACTTTAATTGTTTCTCGGTTGAAGATGGAAGGACGTCGAAGTTAGACGTACAAAAGGTATTGGCTGATTACAGCTGAGAAACAGTCGAAAATGATGATTGCAGGCAGAAGACGGAGACGTTTTACGAAGTCAGCCATCAGACAACAAAGTAATCAAGGACGAATACAAAAAAAAACTGGTCTTGGTAACTTTGTCTCAGTGTCTTTGTTTAGTCCTACTTTTTCAAAATCTTCACCTACTCTTGTTGACCCAAAAGCATCAGTGATGTATGTTTGGAGCTTTTCCACACATGAGTTTCTGGCATGTGAGGGCTAGTGGCCTAGAAAACGTGAATTGGTGGTAGGATTTTGTTTTTGGGAATTTCCCTGATGGTTTGCAGCAATGGTGTATCAATCATCCCTGTCCTATTTTTACTCTGAATCCATTAAAAGTTAAGCATTCTAAATCAAACCAGCTTCCTGTGAGATAATTCCAGTGTATGCTCTTAACTAATGACTGAAGGAGATTCATTCTTTTTTTTTTGTTTGTTTTGCAGAGAGATCTCCCAGAGTGACTGCATCACACATATTCAGAAACACGCATTTTTCTCCCTCCACAATCTGGCGCAGATGTAGGCTAAGCAACATTTTTACCTTCTACCAAATACCCCTGATCCACTCCCTCCATATCAGTTTCACACATGATTGAAGAAATATTCATTTGCATGTCATTTAAGTTTCATTGGATTATTCTGTCAGTAACAAGGCAGAGTGTTTAATCATTGAGTCTCAGTGCAGCTGATACATAAATATTTTGTGCGAATGTGAACGCTTTTGCATGTCAGACATCGCAATTACTGATTTGTTTCCAAATTATTGTTTCTGCAGCTCAGTGCAGAATATCAACAGTCTGAGGGTCATTGAAAGGGGAGCCTTCACAGATCTGCCCAGGTTGGAATATTTGTAAGTCACTTTGTTTTATTCATTATGCATTAAGACTCGACAATAAGTTTTGGGATTCTGATGGTTTCACTGTAAAAACACAAAATTTGCCAAGTATTTTTGTTGAGTTTGTTATGCTATAAAACTAACTCAAAAAGTAACTTTCCAGCAAGATATGTTACTTACTTACTTACATAAGTAAATCTTGAATATATACAAAAAAAGTCTTAGTTTTACCTGAAATTTTTAAGAAAAATATTTGCCAGTGGAACTCATACTTTTTTAAATCTACATTTCAGCATTATTTACTTAAAATAGGCTTGAATAGCTTGCTGAAAAGTCACTTTTAAGTTTGTCTTGTCTCATTTCAAGTGATAGACATTTGCACTAGAAAGTATCTGAAAACAGTAAGATTTTGAGTTTTTGCCATGTTAAAGCTTCCAAAAAGAAACTTGGAATACATTTCACATTTATCTTACATGATCCCCAGAGAATGAACTCAATGAGGAAAAACTCTTATTTTGCAAATATGTGGTCCTAAAACAGAAGAGTATTTTCCACCTTTAAGGTGACATTTATTCTGCACTATTTAACTGAAAAAGCCTTGTAGAGAACATTGTGAAAAATAAAATAAAAACAGACGCTTCAGTAATCTGATTATATAAATAACATTTATGAACCTTTTGATTCAATTTTCTCAAGAATCCTTGAACCTAGTTTTAGGTTCGTCTGGTCTGGAGGAAAGTGACATTTTACTCCTGTAGCTAAACACATAAATTGCAGAAAGTTACAAGAAAAGCTTTGCATCATTTTTATATGACTTCTTATCTATTCATGGTCGCCTGTTTCTGCCACTTGTCAATGCAGGAGCATCTCAAACACAGGCCTATCACACTTCCCAGACTTGACAACCATATCCACCCTGGCATCAGATATCATCCTGTGAGTATTTTCATTTCAAATCGGAGCTTTTCTGCCCCAGCTTAACGTACATTTGCAAGTCATAAAATGCCTTTTCCTTGGGTCACATTTTTGGACAAGAGCCATGTCCTCTGGTCTCAGTTTTACTTTTATTCTGTCAATGTCACACTGCTATCATCCCTGACTGGTACTCTGTCTCACTGTGACACAGTTCAAACAGCCCTTATTTGTATAAATATGCATAATTTAGTCTAACCGAGAATGGAGCCAAGCAGCCTAAATGAGCGTTATCTTCTCCGCCTGCAGAGAAATGGCAGACAACATGAGGATCGACATCATTCCTGCCAATTCCTTCCAGGGCATCACAAAGGAGTACGTTGACATGTGAGTGCAGAGGCCTTATTCTCTTTGTTAATTCATTATTTGAGCTAAAAGCAGCAATTTATCACTATTTGTTTTGTTGATGCATGTTTGCATATTTAAGTGTTCGGCTCGCTGACCTTGGCAATATGTGCCACTGGCGACGAAGTAAAATTAATAACCGTGTGTCTTCAACAGGAACCTGGTTAGGAATGGCTTCAAGGAAATAAAATCTCATGCCTTCAACGGGACCAAGCTCAACAATCTGTAAGCCGTTTGGATTATTTAGAAATTTGCCTCATGCTAATGCAATATGCTGCAGCAAAGCACCCTGTCACAGCTAAGTGCAAAGGATTTCCCACTCTAATCATAAATTACTAATCGTACCAGTAAACAACCCTTATGTAAGACTAAACAAAGATTGGACGCCTCATTGTTTTCTTGCCCGGTTCCATAATGCTAAACGTCAATGAAGAAGAGATCCATACAGACACCCTGCAGTCTAAAAATAGGACCCATCCTCCTCAGTGCCCGCTCCAGAGAACAATAAGAAGATGAATAATACACTGGGGGCAGTTTTGGTCATTATTATGTCATCTCAAGTTTCCATTCAAACTGTGTGTGAAGCAGAAAACTGGAGTTGGGTTTGAGGTTACTTGTGTTGCATTTTTCTTCTTTATGTGTTTTGTAGAATATTGAGGGACAACAGGAACCTCCGTCATATTCAGGAAGATGCTTTTGAAGGAGCCACAGGTCCAAGCTATTTGTAAGTGTTCCTGTAATGTATGTATTTCCACCGATATATGGTGTTAAGGAATGTTTCAACAGCATTTGAATATTTTATAAATTTTCTCACAATCACAGAAGCCATTTTAGAATCCAGCAGCATATATTCGCTGAGTGCATCTCATACATAATTTTCAGCTGAGAAAGTGATCACAACATTCATTACGAACTTTCAGTTTTAAAGGGCATAAGAATAAAACTTGTTAGATAAGATTCATATTGTTTTTCTTACACTATGGCTAGATAAGCACAGGTCTCCAGACTTATACACCCCTGGTAAAGATGCAAGATCACTGAAAATAAATCAATCTTCAGTTTACAACGCTAAATCTCACATGCTAGAAATTAAAAAAAATATATTTCCTAATTTCATATGATTTATTTAGTGGAGAAAATTGGTCCAACTTTCAGTGGAATATCCAATGTATTTCTTGTTTCAGAATTTCTAAACATCTTTGCCTCTGTTGGTTTATTTTAATAAGTTTAAATTGAATGCAGTCAAATAGAGAAGCAAAGAAGAACCCTAATGTTACATTTCTTTGCACAGAAATGTATTTGTTAACTTCCCTTGCTGATAGACTGGCTTTGAAAAACTCCTGCTGAGCTCAAATTGAAAATGAAAAACACCCAGAGATCAAGGTTAATCCAAAGACAGGCGGTAACATTTTATTGTAATGAAATCCCATCATTGTCCTTTTTTCCAATCCTCTCGTTTGTGTTCTGTGTTTCAGGGATGTTTCGTCCACGGCTCTCACTTCCCTGCCAAGCAAAGGCCTGAGTCAAGTACTGTCTCTGAAAGCCACCTCAGTGTTCACCCTGAAAAGCCTCCCGCCGTTAGATGGCCTCGCCGAGCTGCTGGAGGCCGAGCTCACTTACCCGAGCCACTGCTGTGCTTTCCACACGTGGCACAGGAAGCAAAGGTAAGCAGCCAGCGCTCCGACAAATCCATTTACGTCTACATAAGAGAACCAGGCTGAGTCTCCTGAATACAGATCTTCAGTCAGCCGGTAATTAGCGGTCAGCTTTCTTGACAATTCTTGCAAATTAATGTTTTCTGCTCTCTTTTGTTTCTCCTTTCTTTCAAGGGAAAGTGCTTCAAGGAACTTTACCAAGTTGTGTGATCTCAGCAACTCAGAAATGTAAGTTAAAACCCATCATCCTCTGCGGCATCATTAAGTCTACTTGTGTGTAATCTAATTTTGGTGTACAGTCTGCTGTTTTGTAAAAGCCTGAGCTTTTCTCCTCGAGTTGGGCACCGTTCACCAATAATAGCTACTGAATAGCTACCATCTTTCTTAAAGATGTGTGAATGGATCCCAGCCTATCACAACCACATCCATGACCTGAGACGGCTAATAAAAAGCATCAGCTGCACTAATGATTCTGATTTTGATCGTTTCCATTAACAGAAGGCATTTGTATTTTTTTTTTTTGTTATGCTGCAAGTTGGATAACATTCTTTCATTATCTGTGGGAAGCAAACGCCTCACAATCGGCATCCATTTTGTCTCTCTATATCATATCTTTAGCTTCTTCAAATATATCTGAAGATCATCACAGACAGTGGTGTTGCATTGATGCTTCAGATGATACATTTCACCAGTGAGGCATAAACAACCTTTAATGACAACATTGTTTCTTCGTTGCTCAGGGAGCCCACAGATGACGGCATGAATCTCGTCTTCGACATAAGCTTCCAATACCCGGACCTTGAGTTTGGATGCCATAGCAGACCATTCGTAATGTGTACGCCAATGCCAGATGAGTTCAACCCATGTGAGGACCTGCTGGGCTTCCCATTCCTGCGCTGCCTCACCTGGATCATCACGGTCTTTGCTGTGGCCGGTAACCTGGCCGTCTTGGTCATCCTCCTCATCAGCCGCCACAAGCTGACCATCTCGAGATTCCTCATGTGCAACCTGGCCTTTGCCGACCTGTGCATGGGGCTCTACCTGATGCTGATTGCCTTCATTGATTTCAACTCCCGCCACGAGTACTACAACCACGCCACCAGCTGGCAGACAGGACCCGGCTGCAGCACGGCCGGGTTCCTGACCGTATTCGCCAGTGAGTTGTCCGTCTACACGCTGACTGTCATCAGCCTGGAGCGCTGGCACACCATAACCAACGCCATGCACGTAAACAGGAGGCTGCGGCTGCAACATGTGGCGGCCATGATGGCGGCCGGATGGGGATTCTCCCTGCTTGTCGCTCTGCTTCCTCTGGTGGGAGTGAGCAGCTACAGCAAGGTGAGCATCTGCTTGCCCATGGACATCGACACGACAGGCTCTCAGATTTACATCATGGCCGTTCTCATCCTCAACGTGGTCGCGTTCCTGGTCGTCTGCTTCTGCTACGTATGCATCTATCTCAGTGTCCACAACCCGGAGCATGCCACCCGCCACGGCGACACCAAGATCGCCAAGCGCATGGCCGTGCTCATATTCACAGACTTCATGTGCATGGCACCAATCTCCTTCTTTGCCATCTCGGCCGCGCTGCGCATGCCCCTCATAACCGTGTCCCACTCCAAAATCCTGCTGATTCTCTTTTACCCCATCAACTCCCTCTGCAACCCCTTCCTGTACACCATCTTCACTCGCGCCTTCAGGAGGGACGTGTGCCGGCTGCTAAGCCGCTGCGGCTGCTGCGATGCCAACTCCGATTTCTACAGATCACAGACTGTGGCGTCGCAGCACACCTGCATCAACAAAGTGGCCGACAGAAAACCTCACTCACTGAGCTTTTATGCCTATCACATTAAGATGAAGGGCTGCTTTCTAAGTAAGGGAGCGACATGACTGTCAGCGTGCGGGCTGGGAACTCAGAGGCAACATCTGCTCGCTGAAGATGCCGCGTTTGAGAATTAAGGTGAAGGTGGAGAGACTGCTGCCGTCACACATTGCAAATATCTGAGAATCTCATCGGGTTTATTTTGCAAACAGAAAATGTTCATTTGAACCGAGGAGGTTTGAAGGTAAGGAAAGTGCATCCTCTCTTCTGTACAGATAGCAGATAGGTGGAGAACAAAAGATAAGCTTGTTGAAAAAATGTAAAGCATCACTGTTTGGTTGTACTCTACACTATTGCTCAAAGAGATATTTAAAGTGGCTCTAAAAAAGTTGACATCCCTGTTAACTGCTTTTTGTGAAGTACATAAATTAGATCCATATTTTATTGAAAATCTTTTTCCACCCTAAATGTGAAACAGTTCTATAAACATTTGTTTAGGAGAATCTGAGGTGCAATTCTATAATAACCTACTTGCTTAACTGTGCACACCTGTGAGTTAACACTTTGAAGAATCTGATTCAATTTAGTGCTGCATGATAACAGGGAAACATGCAATGTGCAATGATATTGGCTACTGTTGCAGTAATGATGTAACTTGCAGATAGAGCCCAGATAATGATTATCCCACTGAGCTGCTTAAAGGAAGAAACAAAAAGAATTAAACTAGCTTTTAATGGAAAAAGTTGCATCTGACCAAAGTCTGCAGTTTTGGCAATGAAACAACTTTTCGGTTTCTTAATGACTGGATCACCAAATTCTGAAATACAGATTGATTATCTATGCACAGAGGGACACAGAGGACAAAATGTGACTTTTCCATAAATGAGCGTGGTTAAGACTCAGACTGAATGTGAATCACTCCAATGAAACAAAACCTGTTTTTTTTTTTTTTGTTTTGTTTTTTTAATGGAATGAAGAATTACTGTAAATAACATGAAGTATTAAAATGTCAATTTATTAAAACTGGAGATAAACACAGTAATAAATTTATATTACCAATGTATTTCCAAAACTAGAAATTTTATGTCATTTAAAATCTTTTTCATAAGTTATTTATCAAAAACTGGGCAGTCTTCACTCTCCATACCTTTTGAGCATGGTGCCAAAGATGCAGCTCATAACACAAAGTAGCTCACACACAATGAAACATGGTGGTGGCAACATCATGCTGTGGGATTGCCGTTCTCAGTCGCAGTAGACCAAATTGTAAATGGCATCAAATACCAGGCAGCAGGGGCGCTGCCAGGAATCTTGGGCACCATGACAAAAAAATTTAATCGTTAAAAATATGAATATGTTGGTAATTTTTTTCCGTCGTTCATAGATTGCTAGTGAAATGGAGGTAAACAGTCTCAAGCTGAGCTAATTATGTTAAACACGATTATTTTCCGTGGCATCATAGTAAATGCCACAGTCGATTTTGTTTTCCACTGACTGCTGCTGAACATCACCGTCAGGCTCCAAGCAGGAACAAACCATTTTATGCAGATCCAGGGGAGTTCAGGGCAAATACGGATGTCTGCTTTTTGGTCTGGGAGGGGCAACATTTGATTTTTACTGCTAAAAACTATTTTAGAAAACAATATGATTAAGTTTGTAATTGACATGGCCCAAATTTTGTTTTTACTTCTAAGAAAAAATAAATACAATTTCATAACTTTCCCCCCTATATAGCACCCCTGCCAGGCAGTTTTGACCTAAAATCTTACTTTCTGCTAAAAAGTTGATTTTGTTCAAATGTACTGCAGACCCAAAATAAAAATCTGCTTTGCTGTAAGGAAGTTTTGTTCCCAACAGTCTAGTTGAGAAAAAACAAGTCTAGAACCAAAACCAGCATCTTTACAGATGAGAAAGCACACTGAAAATAATTCAAATGTCTAAGAAGTATTTCTAGGTCTCCAAACCTGTTTTGGGTTTTTTTTTACCTTTTCCCCTAAAAACTTTTTTTCCAGTGGAATTGGACAGAATCTTCACATCCACATTGAAAGTTGGAAACGATTTTAAAAGGATTTCTCGGTTTTTCAAACTCCTTGCATTTCATAAGGGTGTACACACTTGAGATCCACCATGAATCCATTAATGATTTCAGAGTTATCCTTATTAAATCAAGACTTTTACATTTGTATATAATGAAAAAAGTTGTAATGTCTTTTTAAATGGCTCTGCTCAAAGTTGTTTTAGTGCCACCTTTTTGGTTCAGGAGACATTTTGACAGGAGTGTTTGAGTCAAACTTTATACTGAAATGTCTGTTTTATTTAAATAAAATTGTGGTCATTTACTTTTATTTACCAAATCTCTTAATTGATCCTTTCCAGTTTCATGCTCACCTGTTACAGCAGTCTGCAACAGGTGGGATTTCTTAGACATTCGGTGGAACAAAAATAAATAAATAAAGTAAAACATTCAAGCTGCTGCAGAGCTCTTTTCCTGAGTGTATTTAACAAGGATGACCTTCATTTTTCACAGAAAGTTCTGTTCTACGTTATTCATAATTTAAGCAAATATTTTATCCTTAGATCAAAAGATTCGATTCAAAGAAAGTTTTGAAACAATTTACCAAAAACTTTGTTCCATTTGTTTTCTTTAGCAGACTTGCCTCAGCAGAAACAATGCAAACTTTTTTCTGCCATTTTTTTATGTGCAAATTTGTGTCAAGTTTGGCAGCCAACAGGTTGTCCTTTTCCTCAGCGACATTTTCTAAGGATTTCTTTGTCTCAATGAATTCAGATAATTAATTTCACAGGCAAAAACAATTAAAAATTACTTAGTAAATTTCACTTTTTGAATTTAAATTCTATTGTGGTGCCAGCGAGTACATTTTCAATGCATTTTTAAAACCGTTTGATTTCTCCACTGCAATAAGCTACATTACATATTCATTCAGATTAGCAGAGTAAACCTAAGTTTTTTTGTGTGTTTTTTTTAACCTCAGTCCCTGCTGGAGGTTGCTAAAAGAAACCTAAACTCAAAGAAGAGAATGGGTTTTTTAATAAAATTCTCTCAAACATAACATAAATCTGTTACATTTCTCTCAGTAAACTGGAGCAAAATAAACTAAAGGAAACTTCAAAGTCTCCACTTTCAGCCTTGATAAATAATGACAAGTAGTAACAGTGATTTGAAACAGAAACGCCTTAATGTGCCTCTCTTAACTGAATTTCCACACTTCATTTTCATTCATGGCTTTCCTTTATGAAACGATCCAATCACCACTCCGCTTCCCCTATAGCTTTAGAAAACACGTAGTCCCTGCCTCCGTAACTCATCACTCCATCTTTCAGGTGAAACTTCCAGCGATTTTTACTGCGGTGAATCTGCAACATGAAGAAATATTGCAATATTTAAGCTCCAGTGCTGGACTTGTTTGGCGTTGGTTGTTCAGAAAGAGAAAGGATGTTCTTACTTTGTCATACTGGCAAACGATCACATTGTCTGTGTCAAAAAGATCCGGGATGTCCTGTTCAACAACATCGTCTCCAGAATTAAGAGGATCCTAAATGACAGTGCATCGTGAAAACTGATCAACAAAAATAAAGCTTACAAAACAACTGCTGGCCCTTTTTAAATATTTGGGACTGCATTGAAGAAAATCATGAGAAGCAGAGAATCTTCCAGAAATACTTGAGTTAGAGTTAGCATAAAAGTAAATGACCCACTGAACCAGGAGGTCAAATTTCTCCATCAACATTATTATCACGATTCTTTGAATATCACAATTCTTTGCGGAGTTTGAAAACAGCATAAACCAAAGTAGTAATGGAAATTCACTGTTCAGTAAATACTTTGTTATAGTAATCAAAAATAGAAATTGGTTTACTTAATTGCACAGCACTGAGGAACTGCAGGCCTCCCTTTTTCAGCTATGATCAGTATTGATGTATCAGTGATTAGGAGGAAAAGAGTTTCATGACTGAATCTGTGGCTCAGCAGTAAACAAAAACGTCTGGGTGACCCCCAAAGAGTCTGGGATAATAATGAAAACAAGTGATTTTTTTTTTTGGACTGGAGTAATTATTTTGTAGCCTAAATAAAAATCAAATAGCACTTCATAAAGAGTCGGACACGGTAGTGGTAGTGTGATGAAGGAGCCACACTTTCTTTTCCACATACAAGTGTGAGTTGGATTGCTAGAATTGAGCCGCTCAGAGCAGCGGCACGTCTGAACTTTGAGATTTTTTTTCTCTTTTCAAACTTTTAATTCCATCTTTCTGGGGAAAAAGAAATTTAATTTTTGAGACAACCATTCCTTCTCATTTGGATGCTGTGTAGCTGAACTGATTTTTGCCATAACTATAGCAGCAGGGTGGCAGATGTTTATTGATCAAAGGGAAATTAAGGTATTGAAGAATTTGATTTTTTTTTTCCCCTCCCTAAACAAATGACTGAAAACAGAGTAAAGAAAAAAAAAACAGGAAAACATCCACAACTGGACAAACAATCCACACAACTCAGTAAACAGGACAAAACATAAGACTTAGCATGAAGCTCACCCTCACCTCGTCTTCTACGTTGAGTTCACCCGCCGCGCCTTCGTCACTGCTGGAGGAAATGCTGTTGCTGTCGCTGCAGTTTTCCTCCTGTAGTGCCCTGATTGCTTCTGCATTGATCAAACCCAGGAAGTCACTCTCTTCCATGGGAGCCTCCTCTTCCTCCTCTGGGCCCGAGTCGTCGGCAGGGCCATCCAGCTGAACTATATCAGACAGCTCTCTGTAGGTGTAGTGCAAGTCCAGCTTTGCAAAGAAATACAAGGAGGAGCTGGAGTTATGTGGTGTAACTTGAAGTTGATGCTCACTTGTTTCAAGTTCAAAATTAAAGTAAAACAATCTGACAAGGATCTGCTCGTCTGCCTTTACAGCTCAAAGTGAAATTTTCTACTGTTTTTATATTTATAAAAATTGCCGTTTTTATGAATATTTGTAGCATATGCAGTGATTTTGAGAGACATTTTATTTCTTGTTTGGTTTATTAAAACAATAAGATTTATTTTTTAAAAAGTGTGTTTGTATACAATAAGAAAAACGAGAATGTTTCACGCAAATTCTGAATTACTTTAGTCATCTTAGTCAAAGTTATGAAAATGCACATCATATGTAAGAATTAAGTGGTAAACAACACAGTGGCTTGGAGGTGCAAAGAGGGAAAATGCTCATAGTTACCCCCACATCAACTTCAGACGGGTTCCCAGCATTCCTAGCAGCTAGTGTCCACACCCGGCTGGCTTTCTCCCTCTCCTCCTCTATGACTTCTTTCAGGATTTCATCAATGTCTCTGCTTTGTGTCTTCTGTGCGAGAGCAGCCTCCTCTGCAGAGATCTGGAAGTCTAACAGCTGAGTGCAGGGAGAGGCAGGTTCAGGCTGGGAGCTCAAATCACTTCCTCCTAGTGCAACCTCTCCACCTGGAGGCTCCAGAGGAAGGCTGCTTTCCTGACTCAGGGCGAGATCGTTCCTTGATTGTGTAACAAAGGAATCAGAATCAGAGCAGGACTCCGGCTCATGAAGCGGGATGGGATTTGGTAGAGCTGCTGCTGGCGCGTCGCTCTGTTCTGGGACAGTTTGAGCAGCAAGGGACACAGGCTGCTGCCCCACTGGAGCTTGAGTAACGACGACAGGAACATTGACTTTGTAAAGTTGCCCTTTAGCAAACAGAAAAGGGAATTTTTACTTTCAAATAGCTACTATTTAAAACCCAAAGAACAAGGAAGTAATGAAGGCTAAATCTGTTCAGTACCAGAAGCTGTCTGCAGAGTGACGCCTGCTGGTATCTTAACAGGGTAGGGGAGCGCAGCGGGGAGCGAAAAAGTAGTAAGAGCTTTTGTTTTGTTCTGGTAAAAAGAGGAAACACAATGTTACAGTTTTCAGATTTACATTTTAAAAAATCCACAGCAAATTCACAAAATATAGGCTCTAATAATAAAGATGTTTTATAGCAGGGGGTGTCAAACTCCAGTCCTCAAGGGCCACTGTCCTGCAGTTTTTCGATGTGCCACAGGTACAAAACACAGGAATTAAATGGCTTAATTACCTCCCCCTTGTTCTCCAGAGCCTTGCTAATGACCTAATTATTCTATTCAGGTGTGGTGCAGCAGAGGCACATCTAAAAGTTGCAAGACACCAGCCCTTGAGGACTGGATGTTGACACCCCTGTTTTATAGTAAATGAAAATGTTTCTTCTTGGCAACATGCAACTTTATTTGTCCTCATGTCTAATATTTAGGTTATATGCCTAATAGTTAGGAAATGAAAGCTAAAATAAGCAAATGCACCATAAGATTACAAAATCCTAGATAAAAACTAAGACCATTTCCTTCATCTGGAGACAGGACTGTCCAAAGAAAACATGAAAAATATCCTGGAGGCTTAGACAGTGAAGCACCCGGATGATATGTGTCGACTCGGCCATCAATTTTATTTCAATAAAATGAAATTTTAAAGAAGCCATACATAAAAATCAGGAGTAAATTGCTTCAAAAGACCAAAGACTTTTGAAGTGAACCAAACTCCCAGGACGTTAATCCCATTAAAATCTCTGCTTTTCTTAATCTTTTATAAAATTATGGCACTTCAGCATGGTAGGATTAAATAATTAAATTTTGCCAAAACTTTAAATATAAAAAGCAAAATTCTTGTCAGTTTCAAACCTTTTTTGCCATGCCTGAATAAAAAACAAGAGGAATACAAGTTACTTTTCAGGAGCTTTCACACAACTCACCAGGTATTTTAGGTAATTTTAGTAAAAGTTACATTCAGCACCAACATTATGCAGCAGGAATTTTTTCCAGAGCTTACCAAATATTTTCCAGAACTTTCTCCATAAATGTACCAAGATCTGGAAAGGTTCTGGATAAGTTCCTTCTAAGATACCAGTAAGCTCCTGGAAGGTATGAGCTGTATGAAACTGACCGTTTCTATATGAAACTTACCTGGACCGGTAAGCTGCTGATGTTCTGAGCCGTTTGCGTCAAACCTGGAGCACAAAAAGAAAGCAGAATCTAAGCAGGTGACACCCAAACAAGCCTCCCTCCATTTAAATTATTTCAATAGTTCTTACAGTGACAATGATCAAACGTAATTGACTGATTAGGGAGGCAACATGCTGATAGGTGTGGATCACCACCTGGAAGCTCCTGGCTCTGGTCGGCCTGTGAGTAGCTAGCAGGAAGCTGGAGAACAAAGTTGGAGGAGTTGATGTTGTTCTTCCTGAGGTCTTCCATTGCTTTGGACTGCATCACTTTTGACTCCCAAAGCTGCAGAGAAGACACAGCGGTGCAGGTGTAGTTCACACTTCCCCCTCTAGGTGGCCTAACTTTGCTGCCCTCGGAAACGTTGTTTTCTGCTTTACTCACATGCCTCAAGTCGTCCAGTACTCGATCTTCAAGGGCTTCATCCAAAAACAGTTCCTTCATGCTGTCAATCACATCATCCATGATGGACAGGTAGAGTTTGGCCTGCGGAAATAATTAGGATTAACAAAAAACAACAAAGAAAAGCAAGCTGTAAGATCAGCTAAATATGGTCTCTAAGAATAGATGGAGTAAACAAACATTTCCGAAATAAAGCAGCTTTTGGAAGTGAGACTTTTCTCACCACTGGGCCTGAATTATTCAGCATCGTTAAAGTCAGACTGCGCAACAATGAACCTGGAAGCGTCATGCAGAAAAATCACGCTGATAACCCTCCGTCTGTTTCCTGACCTGGCACACAGGTGACAATGATCATCATCATCATCATCATCAAGATCCAGCCCAAAGGAGCGACACCTGAGGTGACGTCATAAGCGGGTCAAAAAGAATTGCGGCCCGGGGCGTAGAGATCCAAAAAGCCCTCCTTCAAAACACCAATGATACAAAATACTGAATAAAATACTAAAAATGATCTTTTATGGTCCAATAAACATATATGTTCCACAATAACCATAAATATACATTTAGACAGAGAAGAAAATGTGAAGGTGGCTTAATGATGTGGTGGTTTGCTGCAGGAGGGACTGGTGCGTTTTATAAAACAGATTTTATCATGGGAAAAAAAAATTATATTCTGTGGAAATATTAAAGACATCGGCCAGGACGTTGGCCACAAAAGGGTCTCCCATTGTATATTAGCAAAGGATAATGACCCCAAAAAGGATCATTATACTTCATAATCCCATTTTAACTCAGAAGACAGTGTTTTCTTCGTTTTTATAGGTGAAAATGAACAGATTTCCCATCATTACATCCTCTTTTCCTGTTCAAAACAAAATAAATTTCAGAGTCTTGCTTTATGGTTACTTTCAAACAAAAAACAAACAATAAGCTGAATCTAGTACACCACTGCAAGCTGAACCACTGAACCTGGAGTACAACATACAACCAGTTAAAAAATATCTATCCTTTTTTTTTGCAAAAAGACCCTTATCCTTTTCAAAACTATGTTCAATAGATTCACAGCAGCATAACCTCTGACCCCTTCTTCCTCTGAGCTGGCTGCTCGCCGATTACGGCTCTTTCAGGCCTCGAGGTCGACTCTTCCTCTGCTGAGGGCGAAAGTGCTGCAGCTGAAAGCAGCAACATGAAACACTTCTCCACACAGACCAGTTTACTGTAGCTGTCACTTTGCTGCAGAGCTGCTTTGAAGTTTGCACTTAGAAGTTTTTGCTGCAAATATAGAAAAGTGAAGACTTGTTCTTAAGATATGTGGCATAACCGTCCACTCTGCAACCACATGTTTAATTTATCAGCACATATCTTGGAATAGAAATTACTCAGTCATTTAAATACATTTTAGATTCACAACATGTACCTTCAGTTTCAGCTTCTTCATAATACATAAAACTAAACTCAGTTTCATTATTGAAGAGTGGTAAAAGGAAAGGCACTGTTGAAAAAAAGGCATAAGTAGCCTGCAGTGAGATAAAAAAATGTTTTTATTATTTTTATGGCCGCATGCACTATGTGTATGGCAGAAAACTAACATTTTACATTACCCTTACCTCACCATCCCTATAATGCAGCAAGGTGATAGCTGCATCATGCTGTGGGGAGGCTTTTCCTCAGCAGACAGAAAACCTAGACTTTAGACTCACTTTTCAGCAGAACAGCCTGAGACATACAACCAGAGTTACAATAGAAAGGATCAGATAAAAAAAAAGGGTTTACGTGTTTAAATGAGAGTCAAAGCTAAGAGAATGTGTAAAAACATTTCTAAACTGCAGTTTATAAATGCTCTCATTCAGATTTCAATCACTGTGAGTTATTTTTGCAAAGGTAAATTTCCGTCTAAAGAAAAAAAAAGAAATCAGTGTCTGGCTGAGCAAAGCAACCAGAAACACACCCTGAAGGGTTTGCTGTTGCACCAGCAGTAAAAAGTGTTTAAACAAAGTACAGTATTAACTTGGAGGCTGATAACACATCAACATCACTCCTTGATCCTCTCTATATTTACACACTACTTTTTGTTGATATATTACCTGAAAACACCATAAACATGTTGAAGTTTCTGATTGTGACTTGACAACACGTCAGAAAGCAAAATCTTTGCAGAGACTGTAAACAATGAAGGGGCAACATAACCAGAGTGTGTCGTTTTGGGACGTTCTTTTTCACAAATGGAAGAACTGGATGAGTTCCTGCAAGTTGAAGCTTCTGCCAGAAACAAGAGCCAAAACCAAAGCTGACACTCGTCTTATAAAACAAGAGTAATCTGGTGAAACAATGGTGAATGGTCCAGCGCTCTCTCTCTCTCCTTTCTTCTCTGCTGGACACTTACCTTTGCACCATGTAGCCCTTCAGAAAATCATTACCGGAGCGCTGCATGTAATCTGTTGAGGTGCAGGTCTCAGTACTGGATATCTTATCCCACTATCAAAGGTACAATCACTGAGAGTCAGAAGTAAATCTCATTAAATCAACTTTTTGTTCTTGCTAAGTAAATTTAAATTCAAGAATTTGTCCCGAGTTTAATGGGTGCAAAAGAACAAAGTAACTACTCAGAGTCGTTAAGGTTTAATTCAGTTTTTATTCTTGATGCATATAATATCCAGCGTAAGCCAGGTACCTCATACATAAAAAATAAAATGTCCCCTCACCATTTTTAATCAATTCTTTTATTCAGACCCTTCTCCCAGCCAAGAGGCAACAAAGACCTCATAATAAAGATTTGATTTGCTTAAATAAAATTAAAGTCGTCCATAAAGCAGCCTTCGTTTAGAGTCAGGAATCAGTTCTGTATTGATGATGACAAAGTGCTGGTAAGTATAAAAGGCTAAAACTGCCACAATCAGATAATATACCCATAATTTTAAATGAAATGGATAATTTTATCATATTAGTATGTAAAAACAATACTAAATACATATCATAAAATGTCAAGAACAATTAAAACTTAGTAGTTTATTGTTGTCTTTATTTTATATAATTTTTTGACTCCATGAAACGTCAATAGCAGCTTTTATAACACACTGAACAGAACAGATAAGGCTGCTGATGAAATAACACAATAATTTATTCTTAATTTGGTGCCCTTACACTTTCTAAACTGCATCTATTTATATTTATATATAATTTAAATATAAAAATTTAACTCATATTTGTGGTGGAATTGTGGCAATTTTATGCCTTGTCAATAATGATGCTCATATTATCACACAGTGAAGTTAAGACATGAGTTTGTACATTCATTATTACCAACAACGCTTCAAATACCTTTCTTTTCATGTGACGTATCAGTAACAGAAGATACTTTGGTACAAATTTAAAGGAATTATTCTTAAATCTGTTTGACAGAATTGTAAGAAACAGTCTGACCCCCAACTAAGACGATGAAAGTAAATGATGATTTTAGCTGATTATTGGATAAATTCTGTTTAGCATGACTGTAATGAGACTGTGAGTCATTCTGGAGAGCAGTGCAGAGAGGATGTGAATGCAAGATTTTATATACACACAGTAGTACAGTAATATAATTAATAAATCTATTGTAAAATCTATGTAAAGTGCTAGGCAAAAAGAATGTTAAGTTGTTGTTTTAAGCCTAGAGACATTCAGTCTCAGGGTTAAGGATGCAGAATCTCATGAGAAATACAACCAGTTATGGAAGAATTATCTGAATCTGACAAAGACCTCAAAGCCTTTCAGTACCATCATGTTTTTTGACCCTCATTAGGATGATTTTGGAAAGAATGTCGAGCTAAAAAAATGCCATTTTGGAAATTACTGCGTCATACAACCAGATTGCCTCTGTGAATCTGTTTCAATCCATTTCTTCTCCACTTCCACCTTAAAAAGAGAGACAAAAACACACAATTAGAGAAACCAATATAGAGTTTGAGCTACAGCGGAACAAAAAGTCTACAAATCCCATTTTAAAATCCCAAGTTTTTACGATGAGAAAAATAAGACCCTCATACAATCGGCGCAAATTAAATTTGAGAATTACATTTTGCATGGGATAAAAGTTCAAAATCTAAAGCTAAAATAATGTGGCTGCACAAATTTCTTATAACTTGAGATGTGGCTGTCAGCATTAACCACATAACTCGGCAATTATTTAAAGTGCATCTGATTAACCCTAAATAAAAATTAAGCTTTTTTTTTCTTACAAAGTCATATCTAACAGCCAAGTCATGGTCAGACTCAGTCAGGAGATGGGCCCAAAGTAATTTACAAGCCATTAAATTCATCACAGAGCAAAATAAAACCACTCATTATTAAGTGGAGAAAATAGGATGCAACAATGACATTAGGAACAACAAATAGGAAGAAAAATGTTACATTATTTGTGTTTCTATTTGCATTTTTTCTCCTAAAAGATTTCGGTTTGTTTTTCAGTCGAGCAATTCAGGTCAGGAACTGCAATGAGGGTCAAAAAGGCTCTGAAGTCATTTATTTTGGTTCCATCTCTTATCATGTGTGTGCAGACTTTAAGCCACCTTGTATCATGTTTGCTGTGTGAAGTTTTCTGACGACTCGTCTCACCTGACAGTGATAACGTGTCCAGCTGGTCACGTGTTTCTGCGGTTGAATGTCGTTCACAGTGCCGAGGGACTTGACCCTGGTCTGCGACACGACCGCGCCCGAGATTTCACATTCCATGGAGACAAAGGGGTACCAGTCACTGGGGATCTCCTGATCAGATCCCAGCTCCAGTTTACAGGAAAATGAATGGGGATGATCCACTGCTGCAAGAGGGGGGGAAAAAACAATGTGCTCTTGTAGTTAACAATGGTTACACCAGCAGAAAAATATGTAATGCCAAGGAAGCCAAAAGTACTGAGGGGCTCATCAAAAATGGATGAGCATGGGTGAAGCATGCAGCGGCCCTGGGGTGCAACGAGAGACAATAAAGATGCAGAGATTTTGTAGCCGAGTTTTGATTTTGTAAAGCTAACCTGCCAGTTCTGATTTTATCAGACTCCTAATTTTTCCTTATCAAATATAAAAAAGCCAGAATACTTCTATCTTTTGAGGAAAACCAGAGTTAACAACAAAATGCTTCCTTAGTAAAATAAAACGACTTTCTCACAGAAGCCCAGAGCCATCTCTCCTTAAATCACAGATAATCTACAAATACAACTAAATCCTCCAGGTTTGCAACAGATGTGTCTGTAGATAAAACATGCAAGCTGCCTTCTGAAGACAGGTTATGGTTCACTAAATTTGTAGCTGCAAATTGCACCTCAAGAAGTTCAGTAACTGATATGAAATCTATTCTAAATAAATAAAAACTGAGCTTAACAATAAAGAGAAGAATGGAGTAGATGCAAGACGACTCTTCTTCCCGCTGATCCACAGGCGCCCAGCTTAGTCATTATTAGTCATTATTAGTAGAGGAATTTGATTTTTATCTCTAAAAGTGACATTTTTGAATGGATGGTAACGCATCCTAGCTCGGTGTGATCTTTGACAGAAGGAGTCAGATTTCTCAAACGGATGAAGCAAAACACAGTCAGACTTTTGCTTATTTTCTGAACTTTCTGCAGCCGCCTGAATAAATACCCAGCATGCCTCTGTTGAAAATAGAGATTCTCTGAACGTTTGTGCTTTCTCTTCAAAACGGTTATTGATACTAAAAATAGCTAAATTAGTTTTCTTCCCTCATTAAGTTTGAGGCCTGTTGTTGTCTGTGTGACCTGAGAGAGAATAAACAGATCAAAAAACAAGAAGAAAAAAAATATGATTTTTGCTACCAATCACTGATCAGAATCTGGTTTCTGTGTCCATTTCTAAAATATTTCTGTCAGCTGTTCTTTGTAAAATATTTTATTTATTTTTTTTGTTTGTTTGTTTGTATCCACCTGTAATACAGGTTTCATTCATTGCTCACTTTGAAACAAATATTTTCTATAATTTCTGAGTGGTCTTGAGCTCATTTCTTAAGGCTTTCCGGAGTGTCTAAATGATTTTGGTTGCTCAACATTTAAAAATACAACTACATCCACTACATCCAAAACATTGTACACCTTAATTACATCCTGTTGAAATTACTTCCAGTTATTTTCCATTCTGTTGTCAAAATATTCAAAATGCTGCTGTTCACCTTCTGATGGGAAAAAAAAAAAACTAGTGACAGCTGTTCTGGCTTTGCTGCACTGAACTCCTGTCCATTTAAGGATCCAGTTTAAATTTTTGGGGTTGTTTTCAGGATTTTAAACAGTATGCCACCAACTTATTTCTTTGAAAATGTATGGGATTCACACACCAGTTATTGCTGGACTCAAAGCCAGAGGTAACACAAACCTTTCATGTGTTGTCAGTCAGAGGTATTCCGACATTCAATCATTTAACATTCCAGGTCAACCAGAGTTTTTTTCTCTCTTTAAATTGTAATTGTGTAACTCTTATCAGATTTACAATATTTTTGCTAAATTTTATTGTATTTTAATTGCAGCATGACCTTGAATCAGCCAACTATAGTATGGATACTAGAGCAGATAGTTCTGATATTGTACAATTAATAAATATTAACCCTTCTTTATTTTGTCAAAAAATAAAATGTTCACATATTTGGTATCTTCTTCTTTTCCCTTTCTTATTTAGAGAACCTTCAGACTGACCTTTATGTTTTTCCTTCAGAGCAAAAGACTCACATTGATTTAAAACGACATCATTCTGGCTGCATAGGAATGAAGTTTCGTATCAGCAGAAGTAAAAGCTTCTCATAACGAGATTTTAGGGATTTTGAAGACTTTCTGCCTTCTGTTGCAGGCAGTGTGAGTAAATTTGGTTAGATGGTACATCTGGGTATGCTAGCTGTTGTTTTAAGACTTGATTGTTTTCATTAGCATTTCTACTTAACTGATTTTAAATTCCTCTTAATTTCCACACCAGTCTTAGATTCTTAAATCGGATGTCCTAATTGTGTTTTTACATGAATGTATATTGTATTTTTTAGTGCCAGCAGCCTCAACTTGTCTCTTAATTGTAATTGTATAGCTCTTTTATCAGATTTACTATATTTCTGCAAAATTTTATTGCAGAAATTTTGTTTTGAAATATCAAGTTATACTTGACATTTTTGTGGAAATATTCTCAAACTGTAACATTTCTTAAGGTTACCAGTATGAAAAGCTAAAACCAATTCATTATTTCAATCAATCTCTTCATGAAGTGTTACCTGTGTTCTTGGCAGGCAGTCTATCAATCCTCCACACGATGGCTGAATAAACATTCTCGTACTTGACGGTCCCGATGGACACCTGCATGACGGGCTGCGAGTCCGCGGCTCTGACCGAGCCCAGGCAGGCGTTTCTGTTCATTCGGGCCTTCAGCGACCTTTGCCGCAGCAAGGCCACCGTCTGCGTCACCTTGACCCAGTCACCTGGAACCGGGACGCGGATCACCACGTTTTCGCACAGCGGTTGAGAGGTGTCCGACGTCCTGAGAGAGGAGAGGAAGGTGGCAGACATGTTGAGGAAGGCCTGCAGCTCCACATAGGCTCCTTGGACCGTGACCACGGCTTTGATCGAAAAGGGAATCTCGGTGCAGCCCAGGACCGCGGTTTTGTACCGCATCAGCTCCACCCTGCACGCATCTGGAGGGGAGAACTTGATGAGCCGGGACATCTGAAACTCAGTCTCATTCACACATTGGTGAAAATATCGGTCGGTGATCTCCATCCAGAGGTCGCTGTCTTCCTCGTACCCGTAGCTGGAGTTAGAATGCAGCAAGCCGAGATCGTTCAGGGCAAGGAAACAGTCGCCCTGTCCGCTCAGGAAGGCCAGACAGTGGATCTGGGTGAAAGCTGCTCTCTCCATGACCGTCCCTGACTTATCCAGCTGTATCCAGATGTGGTCAGTGACCTGCAGCGACAGCTCCTGCTCCTCGTATTGCCGCCTCTGCTGGTGTGGCACGCTCAGCTTGAAGATCTCCTCCTCCATGGAGACAACCAGATCCTCCATGTCCTCATGCACCGTGGAGCCAAACTTCAGCAGCTGCTCCACCTCCGCCTCGTGACTCACCTCCAGCTTCGGGTGGAAGCGCTTCTTCTCGGTGTAAGCGAAGAGCTCCACCTTGACTGTGAGGACCTTCCTGGGCTCGCTGTAGCTCTCCACCTTCAGCTCGGACGGCCTGCACTGGGGGAGGAGCTGGAACTCTTTGTACGGCTTCTCCAGGCCTTTCTCGTAAAACATCTGCAGCACGCCTCCAGGCAGCAGGCGGAGATAGATGGGCCCCCACTGTCGGGACGACATGCGATTCTTTTTTTCAGGAATCCTGATCATGACGGGCCAGCCGTCCCTCTTCTGACTACGAAAAAGACCCCTAGGGACAAACTGTACCGAACCATCACCTATCACCTCATTTCTTCCCTCCAGTATGTCCGTATGGCCCTCCTTTCCTACTTGTAGATCTTCCAGTTTATTGCAGACAAAGGAGAAGGGGTTATGGGGTTGGTCGCGGGGAGGCGTGCTGCCATCTTTGGTCCGAATAAAGAATCGCGGTAGGCTGTTGTCTGTGTCTGAGTCTGAGGAGGAGCTGCTTACATCCACGCTCTGTCTGGAATCGTCCCAGAAGGGGTTGAAGTGTCCAGAGTTTCCCCTGAAAGCTGGGAAGGGGCTCGGCCCATTCGCGGGTTGACTCAGAGTCTCTGGTGCTGGTGAGGGCACTGAGACGCCCGATGGGCTGGAAAAACTTCGGAGGAAGGTGTTCTTTTCGAACGATGGGCTGGCGCTGGTGGAGCCTCTAGTCACAGGAGTACTCAAGGCGCTGATGCAGGGTCTGAAAGACTTCCCACTGGAACCTGACTGACTTTGAGGCGATTCCAGCGAACTGCTGAAGCTCCAGGAAGTGTCTTTGATTGGAGGAAGCACCAGCTTCAGACCATTGGGACGTGGTACTGATGCTTTGATAAGAGCGGGTGACTGCAGGGGCTTCTGAGGCGATGAGACCGGCGTGACTTCGTCGTCAAAGGTGACCCAGTTGGAATGGTTAGTGGAGCACATGGCTGGACGCTTCAAAGGACAACGGCTCCTGGATCAAAGGTCCTCCGATTCAAAGTCTTTTTCCATCTGTCAAAGGAACAAAAACAGAAGTCTGAAAGAGACATTAAAAAAGATTTTCAGTTGCTAAAGATAAAAATTAAACAGGATTTTAAACACTAGCTCCAGTTATCACAGAAAAAACACGACCCTGAGGACATTAATAAAGCATTTTTCCTGAGGGTAAATTCCTAAAATAAAACTCATGCCTGTCACTCCATCGGCTTGATCTGAAGATTATCTTTCGACCTTGAAGAGGCTGGAGCTGCAGTGAGAAAAGACATCAATGAATTTGTAGTCAATTTAAATTTATTGTAATTTATACTGCTGATGAAGTTGGTAAAAATACCACACTTTTTTTATTTTTTTCATTCTACAACCACAAGCCTCTATGTTTTATTGAGATAAAACACAGTTCCAGTGTTTAATGTTCTTTGCAAAATTAAAGTTTATTAGTTCCCTAGTGATCGAAACCAGGAATGTCCAACTCCTGTCCTCAAGAGTCCCTGTCATGTATATATTAGATCTTGACAACCAGGGCTGGACATCTTTGATCTCTCCAATCAATACTTTCAAAAGGAACCGTCACTAATTTTTCTGTTTGCATTTTGGTTAGAATCTCAAAAACACCTTTCGATTCAAAGGTTTGAAAGAACTGCACATTGTGCACTTTCAACTTCCTGAGGTCTGATTAAAAAAATAGGATGGTCTAAATATTTTATGGTGAACTTGCTCCAAAATGCATTTGAGAGAACTTGGCCGTTGCAGAAAAAATCCAGCCACATTAAAGGGTCTGATTGGTCCATAATGTGATGCAGCAGCTGGTAAAGCAAGAAGCCAGAGAAACATAACGCCTGTTTAATGTCTCTGCCAACGCTGTAGGATGAACGTCATAGATGTGGGACATATTTCCCAAAAAAATAATTAATTTGACAGCAGAGATTAAACATGCTGCAATCCTCATATGGTCTTGCAGTTAATTTTGCTGCAAATCAATCATTATCTGTCCTTTGATGTGCTGGCAGCTCTGCTCTCAGAAACATCAGGCTCAAAGGCCACAGAGAGAAGCCACTTACGAACTGCTGAAGCTCCATCTCCCAATAAAGACAAGCGAGCTGAAAGCCTCAATTACAGCCTCCCTCCAAGATCACAGCCACCACTTGCAAGTTGGATACATCTGATGGAAAGTTCCCCTCGATATTAATAAACTCGGGTTTTGTGAGGGACCCAATTCGGAAAGAGCAGATTGACAGCCACTCAGTCAAACACAGAACATCTTCCTAATGGGAGGATGTTTGTAAATTATATGCACGCATCCGTAAGAACCCCCGTCCTCTGCGACTTATAGAAGGCAGTCAGCTTTGATTCAAAGAGAAGGATGTGCTCTTTCAGGAGGGGGGAGTTCACTGACAGGCTTATTTCCAGTTTTCTTCCTGGGCTCTCTCGCAGGCAGTGCAGAAATGAGACACAGCTAAATCTACGGAGGACAAAAGAACACATTCCATTCATTCCTCTGGGACCAGCGGCTTTGCACACAGGAAGTACCCGCCTGCTCCACTTGTGTGAACTTACAACAAATATTATCCATGTCACTTTATCACATTCTGATGCGTCTGGTTATTAACCCGAGTCAAACTCAAGCAGACATGCAGAAAGAGAGACTCTGCAGTTTAATACAGGCACAATATAATACAAGAACAGAGATGCTTTATTTGGACGTTTTTGCTCTTTGATATTCTCAATTTAAAAAACTAAATATGCAACTGAATCCAAAACACGTCAGCAAACATTCCAGTTTTCACAGTGGAGCTGAGGTAAAACGTTCTGGCTGTGACAGAAACCAATACTTATCGTCATTTAGCCACAAACGATGACTGAGCTGAAACAGCTCCAGAGTAAAACTGCTGAGCTGAGAGAAAAGAAAAAAAAAAAAAAAAAGATGAGCATGCAGATGCTTCCTGATGACACGAGGCAGGTTCCTGCTGGATCCTCTACATGTTTCCTACTCACCCAGTAAGTCTGTGGTTTTCCTGGGATGACATGAAAATAAAGCACATGGCGCACACTCTCTAGTTTAATTTAAAGCGAAACGATTTCTGTTGCAACAAACAATGACGATGTAATCCAGGGCAGTGGCTGAAAATGAGATGACCCATCTCCAAGGGCATCTCTATCGCCAGCTTAAAAAAGAGAAAAGAAAAGATAGCTGCCTTCAAGCAAAGCAAAGCAAAGATAATAGGGGAGTCTGGGTCCTGCAGTTGCTTTTTTCCCCTCATACACTTAATAAAGTTTTTATTGATGCACCCACAGAGTTTGTTTCAGACGCAGCTTGACTGGGAGAAAAAAAAAAGGATATATAGATTAAATATGTAAGTGCGTGCAGTTTTCTCTGAGGCAATTAGGGAAGGCTAATGAGGAAAAAAAGAACAGTTAAAGTTAAAGTTGGGCTGTCACTTGTGGAAATAATATAAGACTATTTTCAGGATAAGTAAAACAGTCTGTGGGCAAGAATTCTGCTTGTGCAAGTAGTTACACTGTGAATTTATTAAGAGGAAATGTAGACTTTACAAAACCAAGCTGGTTTAAAGGGCAAATATCATCATAGTTTAATGATATTTAAACTTTAAAAAAATTTAAATTATAAAACAATAAATTAGAACCAGCCTTTAACAGCTTGGTTTTAGAAACAGAGAGAGATAAAAAAAGAGTGGTTTTAAGTCCCCCAAAATGTTTCCACTAACTTCACAGTTAGAAATATTTTTTGCTCTAGTATCAAAAGAACTGAAAACTTCAAATGATAGAACATCGTTAAAGCTGGAGTTTGTAACTTTTATGTACAATATGTTTCTTTACATGTTTCTTAAAACTAACACTATGTCTCACAGTGTGATTGACAGTGATAAGTTCTTCATCTTGGCTCTGGTTGGTTGTTTCTGACTGAAAGCAGTGAATGGATTTCTGCAGATGGCAGTGGAACCACATGTAATCTGTCTCATTATGTTGTTGACAGTTCTAACAAATACATAAAAAAACATATTGTTTGTAAAAATTACATACTGTAGCTTTAAGAGACATTGATAATAATGTTTCTGCCACAGCTATCAGTAGTAAAGCAGCAGTCAAACCAGCAGCCATATTGGATTGTGATCTCAGGATTGCTCCACTAGCATTAATTCTCCTTTTGGGATTCTCATTTTAGAAGACTTCTCGTGGTTTTCCCAACTTGAAACTCTTAAAAATTGACCTCCGAGTACAAAAAGGTATGGATTTCGGAACTCCGTATCTCACGTCGCCTCTCTTCGGCTACTTTCGGATGATGTCGGGGGAACTTGACTTTTATCTTTCACGCTATTTCCACACAATTCTCTCCTTCAGACACAGAAACTATCATGACTATCAACAACTACACATAAGAACACAATGAAAAGTAATCAAAAAACAAACGTGAATCCCTTTTAGTAGAATTTTACATAGTGGTCTTAAAGTGCAAAATACGCTACTCATCAGGTATTTTTAAAATAATTTGTTGAATTACTTCCGTTTCTGAGTTTCGTTGTGCCAGCCACATTTACACAGATTTAGCTGTTGAAACCAAAAGTGAACAAAGTCTCTTTCATTTTTTTTTTAAGTTCTCAGCTGAACTTACGCTTTAGAAAAGCCATATTAAAATGCCATTCCTTTTCGTAAATTAACTGGATCTGCGTCTCGACGCACTGTTTGCACCATTGTTGCACGCAGAGGGGGGGTCAGCAAATCCCAGCCAAACACACCAGTTACCGGGTGAAATATTTAATTTCTCCCACAGCAGCTGGTAGAAAATCAAAACAGAACGAGGATGCTGTCATCCACAACAGAGGCCCCTGTAACCCGGACACAGAGGCCCAGTTCGGGTCCCCGTTTAGTTTGCCTGTTGTGACAAACACACTCAAGAGTTGTTGTTGTTGTTGCAACTTTTAAAGCTGTATCACTGCATGCGACACTTACTCACAGCAAAACCAAAATAGACTAAACACCGAGGTCACCAGCGTTTACAAACACCCCGAAACTGTTGTTCCTGTCCCTGGTTGTTTTTTAAAGTGTCCGTGTTTTGTTTTTCTGCAAAGCGTTGCGGGGTGCATAAGAAATTCATAAATACTCACAAAGACCCGCCGAGCTGTTGAGCTTTACTTCAGGTCATGACCGCCGCTTGATGGACACGTCTGAACTCCGCTGTCGGCAGTCTTTTACTCAAAATGGCAGAGTGTAAATCCTGGGAGTTTTCACAGCGTAGCGCTTCCCCTCCCGAGTTTACAGACTGTCCTCCAACGGGACAGAGTGGTGGTGTGTTCAAGGCCGTCGGACTTCTGGAAACTGGCCACATTGCGCGTAGAAACATAGCAAGCGGAGAACAGCAGACTTCGCGACCAAATAACAGCAGACCAGATTTTGGTTAGACTATTTTGGGTTTTGCTGTATTTTTAACTCTGGTCTTTATGAGTCTCTGCTCCCCACTTATAGTTTTGGTGCGTCACTAGTGAGGATGATACAGCGGGTGTCTATGCACAATTCAAAAACAGCAAGAGCCCGCTTAGTTTCCCCCGAAAAGGTGTTCACACCCCAGAACTTTTCATTTTCTGTCCCTTTAAAATCACAAACTTCAGTATATTTCATAAAAATGCTTGCGATAAAGCCTAAATAGCTCATAATATCTAAGTTAACAATTACAAGAGGGGAAAATGACATTCACTCCAATACACATAAATCTTCAGAAAATACTGAAGTTCAATCTTCTATCCATCATGCAAAATTAAGAAAAGCTGATTCTCACATTATTACACCCAGTGTGAAACATGGTGGTGGCAGTCACATGTTGCGGGATTGTTCTACGTTAACAGTGACAGGGAATCTGATGATAGCTGACAGGAGGATGTATGGAGCTAAATATATGCCAAAACAGGAAGAAAACCTCTTAGGAATTGGATCTGGGGTGATGATTCATGTTCAAGCCGAACAAACCCTATACACCCAGAGCTATAATTAAATAATTTAAGTCAAATAATATTCATGCTGGAATGTCCTACTCAAAGTTCAAATCTGCACCAGCTGATAAAAAAAGCTACTGGCCATAATGATCCAGGCAGGCTGAATACAATTATGTCTGCATCAGGTTTTATTTTCTGATTTGCAGAAACCTTTGAAACCATGTATCATCGTTATATGTTACTGCTGTTTTCGCTCAACTCCCAAAAAACATTAGTCAGAAGTCTTAAGTTCAAGAATACACTAATAGTTACTTTTTAAAGTTTTTTCTTTATGCTTCCTGGTAGTAATAAAAATAGACATCTACATTTCATTTGACCATTTCTATGACAAAATCCACTTAAAACAAGTGATTGCTATTAGTTATTTTTCCACTTTGATCTCAGATGTAAACAAATTTCCAAAATTAGCATATTCCTAAGAGGTCCAAATGACTTTTTCACCTTTCAAAAACAAGTGAAGACATTAAAAACGAGCGTTCCCCCTGCTCTTACACATCTCTTCAACAGTGCTGCCTCAGCTCTTAGTGGTTAGGGTGTTACGGGCTGTTTTTGTGTTTTAAATTACAGACTACTCACAGACCCGGTCTCCTTCCATTTACCAGACATGAAACGTCTACACTGGTGTCAGGCAAGTAAAAAAAAGAAGAGAAAAAACACAATGACAAGATAAATCTGACACACTTCAGTATTGAGCAAAGTTTTTATTTTAATTCACATATGTGTCTTTGAACATTTAACATTGTGAAATACAGATTTGTTTTCTCCGGTGGGTTTAAAGGGTGTTTTCAAATCTCTGTGATCAAATTTCAGTCCTGAATGAACGGTTCTGGAGTAACGCTTCTTTATTTGTTTCACATAGAAAAGTCTGTCACGAGTCACAATTTCCCTAATCTTTGTTTACATTGTGGTTCAATCTTCCCATGACTCTTCCCGGTTACATAGACAGCTACTGGAATAAAAAAACAAAACAAAAAAAAAAGCTGCAGAATCTGTATAAAATAAAAAATCTGGGTAAAATAAAGATTTGTAACTTCTGAATAAATGCATATTTTTGTATACATAATTTTAAGAAACATTTAATTACATCATGATTTCAGATGAATTCACATGAACTCCTTTTATTCTTACATCTTAGATTAATGTAAGGAGCTTTAAGTATGCATCTACATTTCCTTTGGTGATGAAAAAAAAAAAGAAATTGAAAAAAAAAAATATTGTTTCCGATCAACTTCTTAAGACTCAGACTTGGACAACTTCACGAGCTTCAACCTGCCCAGGTAATCAGAGCTAATCAGTGCTGAAAGTCTTTTTTTCAACCCACTTCCAGGACTGAAAAGGAAAACGTTTCCGGAAAGGGCAATGAATTCAAGTGCATCTTTTTAAGCTATTTGATCACACTCAACAGCTTGTTACATTATCCATGTATCAGATTTACACAGTTAAAATCTGCACAGATAATCTCAAATCCAAAAAGATTTAGCCATTTCATTGTAAAACAATACTGTCACGTTGCAAAGCGCGGTGTCAGAGTCGCTTCAGGAGGCAACACCCTGCAAACGTACGACCACACCGTTTACTCTGTTCACCTACTTACAGAGAAGCAGCAAAGGGTGCACAGTTCAATTTTCTCTCTCACACTCAGGCACACACTTAGTCAGAAAATTACACACATTAACAGGGTTTGGTCTTCAAGTCTTGACTTCGGTGAGCATTATAAACTTCCACTTCAGCTGTTTTTCTATTCTCTTTGACCTAAGAGGTCAGCCAAACCATTTACAGATAATCATAATCATTAAAAAGGTGACGTGACAAGAAAGCAGAAAAACAACGCTTTTATCAAACATGTTCGAGTCTCTGAACTTGCAGTGATCCTGAAGGTCAAGAGACTGTGTCGGTACAAAGAGGTTCTGCAGCATGAAATCCTCCGCACACGTTGACGGCTTGAGAGCAGCCCTAACGACTCTTGTTCTTTTTTGCATTCGCCTAAAGACAAAAATAGAATTATAATCAAAAAAACGATGAATTCCAAATGAACAAGTTAAACTTGATCTAGTTAAAGTTCCTTTCCACTGAGTTAGAGATTATTGAATGAATAAACTGTGAAACAGCCCTTTACTGAAGCACCAAATCAGATAACTTCAGCCAGCCGCAGTGAACAAAGTTTCTTACAAAGCTCACACTTTGCATTGAATTTGGCTCTAACCAGGTGATCAGTTTGGAGAGTTAACAAAACTCTCCAAACCAAACACTTTAGGAAAAGGAATCGTCACAAAGGAATGATTAGCCAATACGAGGAGCTCTTGTAGGCATATTAGATAAACAGGGAAAAATAAAGACCACTATTTCCTCTCACAGCATTTTTTATCAATTGGAGAAACTAAACATGTTAACAAGTTATCACTATGTATTAAATACTACATCATTCTATTTGATAAAAACATATACTGGGAAGATTTACGGAGACTAGTTGTTTGGGATGTTGTAGTGACTAGATGTAAAAGGTCCAGCAAGAAAATGACCAGGAGAAAATATGTGTAAGGTCAAATATGATGTGTTCTGGTCACAGTAAAATCAGAGATTGGCATAAAAACCAAAGGTTTGTGTTGCATTAAATCCACCACACAGCTGAAGCTCACTTTTACAGATTCTTTGGAAATCCAAAACATGCAGAGGCTAGCTTGTGAAGTTCCAGTAGAAAATGGCTACCTTCAAAGAACAACATGTTTTGACCTGTGACTTCCCGACATGCAGCAATGAGTGTGCATACAAGAAAGAACATGCACGCTTGGGAACAGGCCTCTCTTTTACTGTCGACTTCAACTTAATGACTTTTTCAGACGACTTGAGCGGGTGCGCCCTACATAAAACGCGACTAGGAGCCAGACAAACCGCAGATGACCTCTCAGCTCACCTCCTGGCTGACTGAACCCTCACAAAGTCACATTTGAACTGCCACCTGATCCTGATTCAGCCTTTAAAATGGTTTGTAACCAAAACCCCTCTTGGTGCAGTACCTTGCCACCCAGCTTGAGCATGTCGATTTCCTCTCGCTGCTTGCTCAGCGTCTCATTCATGCTGCATAAATGGTCGCTCATCATGCTGAGCTGGTCCTCGTAGCTCCTCTTAGTCGTAGTCAGCTCGTCCTGCGTGAGACATGCTCCAGTTAGCGTCAGCGTGTATTCTCATTTGGAAAGAGAACGATGTGTGCATAGAGAGAAGGTGCTAGTTTGTGTTTTACCTGCAGCCGTGTGATGTTCTCGTTAGCCAGTTTGACCTCTTCGCTCAGAGTCTCCCGTGCTTTCTCTGCAATGGTTAATCTCTTTGCCAAGGCTCGGCACTAAAGGCAGGAACAACAAAGTCAACATCTGCTGAACTCTGGCAGCGTCCAAGCAAACATAAACGCCTCAATAAAAGATGCTTAAGTGATCCAATTTTCAGAAAAAAATAAATAAAAAATTACAAAGCCTGATGAAAACCATAACTTCATTAAGAGAAAAATAAATGCAAGTGGTTGTTAGATACAAGGTATAAACAATAGAAAAAAGTACAGGTTGTTTTTTATAAATAGGAAATAAAAACATCAAATGCAGAGTTAGAATTACAGATGGAAGTTTTTTGGTGGGAGTTTTTATACACAGAGATTGAAATCTTTACCTGTTCTTTTCAAAATAGCTCAGGTTAATCAAGACGGCATGGAAAGCTTTTCGAAAAGTAATTTTCAAGTTTTCCCATGGATTCTTAATTAGATTTGGGTTTGGATTTTGACTGTAGCACTCCAACACATGGATATGTTTGGATCTCAGCTGCATGTTTAAGGTTTTTGTCCTGCTGGAAGGCGAGTCTCCTGGTTCTCAGGTTTTCTGGAGCCTCTATTAGGTTTTGTTCCAGCAAAGCTCCATCCACCTTCTCATCAACTCTGACAGAAAGTTCAATTTTGGTCTCCTCAGATTAGAACATCTTCTCTTGCATTCTTAACTTTCTCACTTGTCACACTTCAAAAAAAGGTCAGATTTGTATTGTGCATCATGATGCAGTTTGTTTATAAAGGCTTTTCCCCATAATGTGACCAATATCTGATCCTTTCACCCAGAAAAAAAATCTAATCTGAGTCATTTACATATGTGGAACTAAATCGAACTCGAAAGCATCTGCAGTCTGAGCGGTCATGCCACATTTTACACAGTGCTCAAATGTGGAAGTGCTCAAACAATTTATGCCTCATGTTGTTGCCATGAGGCATAAATTGTAATTCTGAACCAGAAAAAG